TCTGTCTGTCTGTCTTTCCGTCCCCGTCTAGATATGTGTATATGCTTCAGTTCTACTACAAGCAGCTGTAGATTTACCTATATCAACTCCCATTCCCATCTTGGAAAAGTGATCCAAACAAGAAGGATAATCATGGAACGCAACACAACGCGATCAATAATTCGACACGACAGCACAGCAAGGGAGAGGAGAGGAGGGGAGCTCCAGGTTTTTGGTGACGTTGCTTGCGGTGCAATGTGTTTTGGTAAACTGCCTGCGATGAGATCATACATCGCGACAGGGTTCATGGCATGGACGTGCAGCAGAGTGGGACCATCAGTGCAGTTCTCAGTTGCCGCACCTTTTTGGGTTCCGACGTCAGCGCTAGAAGCGAATTGAGTTCTGCGGTGGCGCTCCCGACCCCCGTGTTGCCTGAGCCATTTCTTAACCCCTCGGAAACCCTGTGGTTTAGGGATCAGGGCCTCAGGGTTTCTACGCTTGTCGATATCTGAGACGAAGCGCTGGCCCCCCGACGTCACCGGGACGAGCATGTGTTCACATAACCCGAGAGGTTTCGCAGTCATGGCAAATCCAAAACCTCAACCTTAAAGGAACCCAGCCTTTTGAAGGAACCCTTTTAAGGAACCCCTTAGAGGAACCCCTGAACGGAACCCGAGGAGAGTCTGCAGACATGTTTACGAGTAGGGACAGACAGAGAGATCACAGACACCAAGACTATGTGTGTGTGTGTGTGTCAGTAATTTTGCATGTCGCGAAAATGCCACGGAATATGCATGTTGGTTTCTCTTCATATGCAGTATGCACACATGTCATTCAAGCTTGGAAGTCTTGTTTAGATGGACACCCCTTGACCTGCGACATGTACTTTTGCACCAGTACTTTGATTATGGCTACTTTTTCGGTTGAGTACCGCTCTTATATTTGTCCATCAGGTTGCCACTGCTACACCTTCATCGTAGTTCGCATGATCGTGGGCATGGTCATCGGAATCAGCACCAATGACATGACGATCATCATTACTACCAACATGGGTAGTTTTCAAAATTAGGGTCCCTTTTAGGGTCCTTTTTATAAGGGTGCCGTACTATATTGGGGACCTAAAAAGGGCCCTTAATGTAGAGAACTACCCACATCGTTTCTATGATCTTCGTTCTAGCAGAGTTTTTGCCACCATGCGATCTCGGGCAAGGTTGTGCCATGATCGACGCTGGCAAAAACAAGGACTCGACCGGCTGTGGGGTGCAGGGGTTTCGGGGGTTGAGTCGAACTTACAGCTTTGGGGTTTAGGGTTTGGGATTTAGGGTTTGGGATTTAGGGTTCAGGGTTTAGGGTTTTGGATTTGGGGTTTAGGGTTCAGGTTGGGAGAAGGTCTTCTTCCTGCTTTTGTGCAGGAGTTGAGAGCCGAGAATCTCCAAACCTCATAAGGCCCGGAAGCCCCGAGAGAGGAGAAGTCTCAACCCTAAACCCTAAAGTTAGGGTTTAGGGTTTAGGGTTTAGGGTTTAGGGTTTAGGGTTTAGGGGCCCTAAAGCGTGCACCCTTTGACCCCAAAGCTTTCGACAGCTACAACCTTATGATCCCAAACCCCTACAAAACCCAGAGCGGTACACAAACCCCAAAGCTATGCTGAAGCCTTAACCCCTTTATCTTTCAAGCATTCCAAAACCTGAGACATTCCAAAAGCCTTTCGCCCTCAGCCCTACGTTCAAAACGCCATACCTCGCGCAGTGAAGTTCACACTTCTCTAAAGCCCTGGGCCCCCAATGCGAAACTCTACATCCCGTGTGCCCAAATTTCCTGGGGGGCCGACCGTAAGATCCGATATGCTCAGCTCCAACGCCCGATTCTAAACCCTAAACCCTAAACCCTAAACCCTAAACCCTAAACCCTAAACCCTAAACCCTAAACCCTAAACCCTAAAACCTAAAAACCCGACACCCAAAGCTTGAAGATCTGAGGGCCTCCAAGCCGATCCCAAGCCCGAAAGCCACCGTAAACCCGAAGCCCAGATCCCAGAATGCAGATGAGACAAGGGGTTTAGGGTTTAGGGTTTAGGGTTTAGGGTTTAGGGTTTAGGGTTTAGGGTTTAGGGTTTAGGGTTTAGGGTTTAGGGAGACAGGGGGTTTAGGGTTTAGGGGTATATTAGAGCATAGTATAGTAGATTATAGTATGTATGCTATAGTGTATCATAGTATATGATAATATATTATAGCATCTTACAGGACATTATAGTATATTGAGTATATTACAGTGTATGATCGTATATTATAGTATATTATAGTATGCACAGTATAGTATAGTATAGTATAGTATAGTATAGTATAGTATTTTACAGTTTATTATGGTTTATTATAGTGTATTACAGTTTAGTATAGTGTATTATAGTGTATTATAGTGTATTATAGTGTATTATAGTATATTATAGTGTGTTATAGTATATTATAGTATATTATAACACCGTGAGGATGGCTTTTAGAGGCCTGCTAGTTGCTGGACAAAGGCTTCGTCGGGAGTTCTTTTCCCTAAGCTCTACCGGGGCTTCGTAGGGATTCAGTCGGGGAAACCCTAAACCCTAAACCGTAGCCGAACGGCTTTTCTCGTGACCTGCGGGGAGGAAGGAAGCATGCCCTGTAAAGAAAAGCCACCGAAAGCCTAAACCCTGAACCGTAAAGCCTAAACCTTAAACAGTTTTGGGGATTATCGGGGTCGTAGGGGGGGTTTAGTCAACAGGGGGGGGGCCGACAGGATCTCAAGATCGAGCGCTGGGCGCCTAAGTCCCCCTTCTCGCTTTCGTTGAACATCTCTTACATTTTGGTAGGAACCGAGGCCTTGGGGTTTAAGGGTTTCTTCAAGGGTTCCTATGAAGAGCCCGTTTAAGCATCTATATTGGTACTGCAAGCGGTTTAGGGCTTGGGGCTTTAGGGTTCAGGGTTTGGGGTTGACGGCTTGGGTAGGGTTGGTTTTGAGGCTCGATAGGGCTTGCTGAAATTACGTTTTTAGTTTTGAGCAGATTTAGTTACAAGTTTTTTCAGGGTCTATAGGGTTTAGTGGAGTGTGACGTTTTCCAGGTTTCGAGAGTGTGGACGGGTATGAAAAGCTTTCAAGTTTGGTATTCAATGCTTGGTATGTCTATGCAGACTGCTGGCACAGTATTGCTTCTTCTTCGCGGCGGAGGCTTTTGTGACGAGTTGTTGTGTTCAGGGTTTTGGTGGAGCGTGTCGGTTTTGGAGTCTACGTTTTGGGTTCATGGCCTTAGTTTGACAAAATCGTGATTCATACAGAAGCCTGAGCATTTATCCATGCTTTTGCATAGGAATCTTATTACCTTTGTACTACAATATTCAAAACTTACTCAAATGATCACGGACTCTATGTTTGCTCGGTCCCGCTCACTTTCTGAGGCAAGGTCGTCGATGAGGCGGATGCGGAAGAGGAGGCGCGAAGGCTGCGCGAGTCTCCCGGCTCTTCTATGAGGGTTTGGGGTTTAGGGTTTAGGGTTTAGGGTTGGGGTTGTCTCCCGTTTCTTCTAGGAGCAAGGCTTCTGCTTGGAGGAAAGGCAACGACATCTGCAAGTGCCCGCCTTTACTCTGTACAGACGCAAATTTAAGTACGTTTTTTAGCTCATAAGTGCATGTTTTGTGAGGTGTTTGTGGCAAAAGTATTTCTGTTTCTATGTGCGCAGTGATGTATGTGGTTGGTTCATATGTTTCTATGTGCGCAGTGATGTATGTGGTTGGTTCATATATTCATTTGCATGCTAAAACCCACAATCTACGGCAACTTGTGTCCTGTGCAGCACATCATCACCACGCAGTGCAGACTGCGTTCCGTATATAGCACTTGTTTCGCAGACGCAGCTATCATCTTCGACCTGGGCGTGTTGCATATCGCGCACTTTTCACGATTTCTGCACACTCTATAGAATGCTGTACGATTGTACGTACATATATACATAAATATATGTAGACATGCGCATCTATTCCATGGTATTGTGTACAAGCAGGTTGGAAATAGTTATGTTGCGCTGATGCCAACAGCTGTACCATAGTACAGACACATGTAAGTACAAATAGATAGAGCAAATAAAAGCAGATGAACTAGTTGAGTAAATCAGCAAGTATATGCACAAACAAATGAACAAAGATAGGTGCTTACACAAACGAACAATTTATCATATACCGAAGTAGATAAGAATACCTGGTGTTTATGTATGTATGTATGTATGTATGTATATATATATATATACGCAGATGTATATCTATATCTGTTTCTATATCTGTATCTATATCTACATCTGTATGTATATATATATATATATATATATATGTATATATCGTCTAATACAGAGTATGTACACACACATGCATATGATCTCTGCACGATTCTTGTGCAGACGGATATGTGCATGTTTCAGTATGATGGGTATGCATATGTAACTTTGTGCAAACGCATACACCATGTCCGAGAACAAGACCAGAGCCTGTGGGAGGGCAGATCTTGTGATGTTGCTCAGTTCTTTGCTCTCTTGCATGTGAGTATTTTTTTGCCTGAATACTTCAACGATTTCATTGCTTGGTTTCCTTTGTAGCAAACTGCGCAAACCAGCAACCAGCAACCCAGAAAACCAAACTGAGCATACACAGCAGCATCCAGCAGTCCAGCTTCGGAATCCTTCCGGGAACGGCTTCAACATTTTCGTTTCAAGCCAGGACTACATTTCAGATAATTTTGTGGGGTTGCTTCGGAGATTAACTGATCGTAATTCAAGGATCGGGAGGCTTAACAAGAAGGGTCATAAATAGGACCACGGCTGCCAGTCTACGTCGGGTTTGGGGTTTAGGGTTTAGGGTTTAGGAGTTTGGGGCTTGGGGTTTAGGAGCTTAGGGTGTAGGAGTTTCGGGTGTAGTTTAGGGTTTAGGAGGCTTGCACCCGAAGCCCCCGCGGCCTCCCTACACAAAACGATCTGCGAAAAGAAACCCGAAATCCTCAGCCCTAAACTCTAAACTGTACACCCTAAGACCTAAACCCTAAACCCTAAAAGCCCTAGGCCTTCAACGCCCCAAGCCCTAAACCCCCAAGCCTTGAACCCTAA